GCCAGGTCGCACACCTTCTCCTCCAGCACCGCCGTGAGTATCGCCACGTCTCTCTCTACCACTATATCACATAAGTGGTTGCTGTCACAATATTGCCTTATGAAAAAAGTAAACCGATGTCATCCAAAATGTTAATACAAAATACTTAGACAAATATTATGGTTCGATAATCGATCGGTCATAAGAGGATGAAGAGAGGACGGTATGAGCTGCGTAAAGTTTACATCGGACACTTATGTCAACTAAGTCGTATAAACGACACCAGATGTAGCGAACCACAGTTTTTGCACCGATGCTAAGTGATCAGCATGCGCTCTGTTTGCTGTCCCTCCTCTGTCCAAGTGTGACAATGTAACTCACAAATATGTATTATAAGAAAAATATTTGTGCCGATGTCGTTACCAGTAGTGTTGTTTTCGTGATCGCTGTAATAGTTAAGTTATGTGCGCAGTGTGCGAGGTGAGAGGCTAATGCGGCGTGTCGCTTGTTGCGTGTTGCAGGGAGACTTCACATTCAGCGGACTGACGGCGGGCGACAAGACGCACAGCACTGACTTCAGCAGCGGCAAGTCAGACAGTGAGTACTGCTGCTTGTACACTCTAACACACACACACACACTCAAACGTCTACTTAATATTATTGCCTTGTCTTCAAACTGTAAACAGAGCGTTTAACGAGCGGAAGGAACAACAGCGCCATCAACTGATAAAACAATCTTCGAGATTATTTTAAGTTTGAACCGTCAAAATGATTACAGTTCATGTCTGTGCTAGATATTTATAGATATAGCTGTCGCGTACAAATCATATAAAAATATTTACATATAATATTCCCATGTATTCCTATACAATTTCTGTAAATTTAAAATTGAGTGACACTGCAGACTCACATGCGGTACAAGTTGTGATGTGTGTAGGTGTTGATGTAATGTTGTTGTTTGCGCGCAGTGCGGACTGACCTGTGCGGTAAGTGTGTGCCCCACCACCTCCCACCTCCCACCTCTCACCACCTCCCACCTCCCCACCTTCCCGACACGCTTCTCACGTACATACCTCTCCACACTTCACTTTCAATTATTTGTCAGTCCGTCGAGTTGGACACAATAACCTCGCATACCTTTGACATCGCAACATTAGCTCAAACATCATGTTACTTCGTATAGGCTAGAATGCCGGCGCTACACTTCATTAGCTTATGTGCAGTTCATATATTTTGTAAGAACTTGTTCACCCGACAGCACCGCGCTCACATCAGTAGCTCGAACGCCGCAGCATTATTGTTACACCTTCAACTCCGCAGTCGTTGACTGATTCATTTTCTTACTATTCTAGTAGTACTTTGCTTTTTACTCGTACGCTGGATTCTTTGACTTGCTTTCATTTGCTTTAATAGTGAATAAAAAAACAGCAGTAGTTTGGATAGATAATTTTTTAATCGCTTTATTACGTCGCTTACTGAGGTGTTGAAATGAGAAGAGTTACGTGTTGTGTTGCAGTATCTGCCGGCTCCATCACGGACGTGGACAGGAGTGCTGTGGTGAGTGTCGCCGCATCGGGAGCCTCACTATCGCACCGCGGCAAGTCGCTAACTCCCCGTCTCG